TATAGAAATCATAAACCGGGACCAAATTATATTTGGAGAGAATTAGTACATGCATGCTTATATCTATGAGAACGAATATTCTATTAATATCAGTATTGCATCGTAGTTAACTCTATTTTTCCCCACAAAAACAGGTCTTGTTCCTGTGAGCGATTATTTTTCCTTTTTAGATGTAATTTTTGTGGGATTTGGATCTTCTCAATTGAAAGTTATTAAGCATCCGAGTGTGATCTAACAATGTTGAAGGACGAGTTACAACACAGATGTTTGTTTATTATCTTTTAAACTAAATTTGTAACTCCTCTCCAAATATCGTTACATCACGATCTAATAGATGCTAAATTCCAATTTTTGTGTCGTGTTTATATTGGGGTATAAAAATTGTTGATAGAGCAATATTGCCATTTTCTTTGTCGTTTGCATAATTATATGATAAAGATAGGTGGAATTATGGGCTATTGCTAATTACTAATACTAATGGTGATAGAACCATCCCAGAAGATGTCAGGTAGGAAAGTTAAACCTCTAATGCGCCATTTGCCCCACTCACCGGGGTACCTTTCACTTTCCAACAAATTTCTCAGTGTGTATGTGTTTTGTGTGTTAGTGCCAGTGAAAGTGATATATCCAAAACAAAAAGAGGGGGGAAAAAAGCTGGTCTGGAATAAAATGATTATTCCAACAGATCGATCTTATCGAAATGAAAGCCAAGCACTAACGACTTAACAGTACAGAGTACACAACCCCTTTTATAAGAGGTATACTAGCTCTGTTCTTCGTATGAGAATTATTTTGATTTTAAATTTGATTCTAAATATAATATTTTAATTTATTTTATCTCTTATATTTTTTTTAAGTATCAATTTTCAACTGTTCTTGGTCAATCAAATAGAAATTAAAGCATCCATGGGGCATCATCAAATTATTTTTATACTCCGTTTTTATTAAAGGCTTGATAATTTCTCCTCATGTTCAATACCTTCGGGGGAGAATTATTAAGAGGTTCCAAGAAAGAAATTTAATTACCAAAAAATCCTTTGATAAAAACTAGTATGAACCTGCTGTTATTTTCTACTCTTCACTTGTCACTGCTTACTCTTCACTTATCAATAGATTTTAAGGTAATTAAATATCTTGTTTAAGACCTAATTGCAATTCTCTTTAACATCTATCCTTATATTTCTTTTTATGGGTAGGTGAGGTTAGTTTATTTTTAATACTTTCTTTCTCATGGTTCTTTTCTTCCAATATTAGTTTTTTATTTAGCAATTTCTTACGCCCTTATGTATTGTCCAAGAGACCTCCATCAAATCCAAAACAAAATGAATAATTTAATATTAATGTAAATAATCGTAAAAAAATTAATACTAATACAAATGAGCTAATAATAATGGCGATTTTCCTGTGAGGTCAGCTCATTCAGTGCTTTGTGAGAAGAGGACTGGACAATACCGACTCAAGAGTCGGTAATACGCGGGCCCAACCCACCAACCTGCCAAAAATAGTAGGCTCATGCCAACCCACCAAGATGAGGGCTCGCGGGTTGGCGGGCTAGCCCACCCATTTTTTTTTTTAATTTTGATTTTTATACAATTCCTAATATGTTACATAATATAGTTGGAGGATTTTGACCCTTAAATTCCATATTAACATCTCCTCATTCATATAATTGTATATGTAATACACACATAAAAGATTTACTTAATTAATTTGGATTAAAAAAATAGTTAGATTAATTATTCAGAAAAAATATGTATTAGTTTTTCTAAAATATCCTCTCAAATTATAAATTAATCGTCACATTATTTTATTATAACCCACTGCTCAAATTTAAAATTTCAAGTCTAATTTTAACATTTCAAACTAAACTTAACCTCTACAAATAATAATAATTTTTTTTTAAAAAATATTTAGGCGGGCATTTTGCCAGCCCGCATCTTCAGCCTGCACTGCTTTCGGCCCACAACACTGCGGGTTGGCCCGTATCCGCACTGCCAGCCCGTATTACTAGCTACTGAGGGATCTGGCGCAAGGTGTGGAAACTCCAAGTACCACAACGAGTTCGTTTGTTTCTCTGGCTGTGCGTGCGACGTCGGCTTATGACAAATAATCTCCCGATCGGTAAGGGGAATGCAAACTGATGTATCATGTAGTCTGAGTGGGGTTCATATGGAGGACATTATGCACGTTCTCTGAGTGTAGCATAGCTCGTAAATGTTGGGCAAGCATAGTGCCACTACATCTCGGCGTTAAATTCTTTTCGTTTGAGGATGTGGGTGCCTAGTTGGAATGGAACTTGGGACAAACTGTGTTGTTCCGTAATACTAAGTGGAATATCTGGCTCGGGGTACTGTGTAGGCAGATTTGGCTAAGTAGGAGTGCTGGGGTTATCCAACGGAAGGCAGTCGGCTTCCGTGAAGTGCTTGCTTAGACTAGTGCGATTTTTTCTTGGGCAAATATATGCATGGTCGTGACCTTGCGGGTAGAGAAGTTGGTGACAGCAGGTGGGTCCCTCCGTTTGTGGGGTTTATGAAATTTAACGTGGATGGAGTATATGTGCATAGTACAGGTGTGTCGGTTTGTGGTGGTCTTGCTAGAGACACGATGGCGTGTTTTTTTTTTTTTGGGTGTAATCTTGGGAGAGGTTTGAGCCTTCATGCGGAGCTCTGGGGCATGATCTGGGCTTTGAAACGGGCTTGGGATATGCAGTGGCGGCGAGTCATTATCGGCACGGATTGCTGGGAGGTCCTTGAGTTGCTCTCGGCTGGTTGGACGGATGATCACAGTGAAGGTCACTTACTTACCGAGATCACGAGCTGGCTGGGTTAAGATTGGCACCTTTTCTTGGACTGGTGCAGCAGGGGCACTGCTGGGGCTGCTGATGCGTTGGCCGAAGAAGCTATTAGTATTGATACAGGAGCTGTCCCTTTCAGTTTACCATCTAGTTTCTTATCGCCTTTTCTTTCCTCGGATGTAGTTCGTAACTTTTAGCTTTTGTTCATTGCATCGAAAAAAGAGAGAGAGCTATATTATTTACAGGCTATGAACTTGATTTAATTTTCAGTTTCCGTACATATTGGTCCCACCTAACAGTGAAAATATGTTGATAATGATTCATACGAGTGGCAACTACTGGAATGATGTTCTAGTGATTTGTAGGTTAAATTCCAGTTTACCACACAATAATACCCGTTGTTTAGACTCAGCCATCACGTTAAAGTGATTTGATTTATGGGGTCAAATAAGGAGGCTTTTTGACTTGCTTGTTCTCATTTACACGTTCTTCGTTGTTCTATGTTTTGGGAGCAAGTCTCAAATGATTGAGCTGTGAGAAGAGGAAAACAAACGGCCATTACCTAGAGCGTGGAAGAGATAGGAGATATAAGATCTTTGATAGGTGGTGGACGGAAAGAGAGGCTACGGTGGAAGAAACTAAAGAGAGGACCAAATTTGCGGGCTTGACTCAAGACTCGTGCTTTTGGGCCAAGGTTGAAGAAGCAAGGGACTGGGTGAGTAGAGTGAGAAGCGAACGGGACGTGAACAAACAGGTATTGTTATGGCAGAATATAGAGAAGTTTGAGAAGTATGCAGTGGAACTTATTGAAAGTAAGGCTGTATCCGAGGACGTTCTAGCAAAGAACTCAAGTTACAGTTTATGGGTAGAGGAATTAAGAGAAGTGAGGGAGTTGAATTCAAAGGTTCGGACATTTCCTAATACTTTTACTCGCTTTCTGGACGGAGAAGTCGTTTCTTAATTTGTCATGTGGAATTTGTAGTTGTGGCCGTACGTATAGTAGAACTGCTTGTTTTAATTCAAGGCCCTTATTTCATGACTCCTCACTAGGCTATTTCTCTTTGAATTTTTTTCCTCGGTAATTGTTCTGAGATTTTCGTAAAATTAAAATTTTTTAAGCAATTAATCATATAACATTAACTTCAATGATTAATGATTCAATCATATAATATTAAATTCAAAATTTTTTATTAAAAAATAGATCCTCAATATTAAAACTACAGCTTGAGATTTCTCTTTAAATTATACATGAAAAAAATTCTAGAAAAAGAACCTTAAAGTTAGTATTTTCTACTTCAGGCACTTAACACTTCAAAATGATAGAAAAAGAAATTAAAAAAATTTAAAATTTAAAATTTAAGGGAAATGAAAAAAATGCCCCTTTGTAAATAACAATTTATTTAAGAATAACAAGTTCTGATTGTAAAATAACAAGTTTTAATTTAGAATTAAACATTTTTTTTCTGATACATAACATGTGAAATAACATGTAAATCATGATAAAAATTCATCTAGAAATAATAAGTCCTATTTGTGAAATTACAAGTCTCGGACTAACAACACTCTTTTTAATGGGATTAGAAAAGGGGTATTTTTGTCATTTTGCTTGAATTGTAAAATTACAATACGAGTTTATTTCATTTTCTATCATTTTGAAGTGTTAGGTGCTTGAATTGAAAAATACTAATTTTAAGGTTTTTTTCCTGAAATTTTTTCAAAAATTTTGAAGTAGATTTGATTTAAAAACTTAAACAAGCCAAATTAATTATTACAAATATATAACTACATAAGCATAATACATATAACTAACTCTATCATGTTTGCACTTATATTAAAATTTACGGTGGACATGCTAATATATTTTAGTTAACTAGATTTTTTTTTAATGAAATTAATCAGCACTTGCGTTCCACCTTAAAATTTTTATCAATATTTTTCTAAGGAACAATTACAAATTCATTCACACATTCATATTTATATTCTTCCCATATATATAAAAAAGAAATTCACAAACACTACACACTCACACTAGAGTAGAACTTACAACCTTTCTCTGAGTGGTGTTTCGTGCCGCTGGCACGTATGCCACCGGCAGTTTCTATTAATAGTGGTATAAATGAGGATTACAAAATTGACCTTACAAATGATAAGTCAGAACCAGAGATGGTGACAGGAAAGTATTAATGAAGGGCATATTAACGGCAACAAGAAAGTGTGTGCGTCTGTGTTAATGAAGAGCATATAATTAAAGCGTATTCCATCACCTAACCTTGATAGACTTGGTCAGAAGAATTATTAGACCTTACCATTCTGAACATCAATATTCCTAACAGGTCCCTTAAACCATTTTCTTGCGTCCAACAGCCACCAGAGCAATATTAGACCCAAACCCACCCCTAAAGCAACAGGTGCATAGTTGAAAGTTTCCCATGTAACAGGATACAAAGTGGGCAAGAGGAAAACAGAACAAGTGTAACAAATCCACAGAAATGCTACTAAGCAGATTGGTCTTCTTGCTCTGCCTAAGTAAAAAGGCCCTGGCTTGAAGTTCTTCTCAGACATAACCATTCTTGAAAGTATTGGAACTGCATACCCACCAACCCATCCTACAGTACATATTGAAGTTATGGCAGTAAAGACTACATTCACTTTCAGAATTGGGATTCCCAGAAGAATGCAGATTGCTGCACAGAGCCACACGGCGTTCGCCGGAACTTTGTGCTTTGGGTGTAGCTTTCTCCATAGATTTGAAAATGGAACACCCTTGTCTCTTGACAGAGCATAAACCTGAAAAGAAGAAAAATTGAAGTAATTATTGTGAAAACCTGAGATCTCAGTTTTCCCCTGAATCTAATTACAGATAAGAGAGGATAATACACATAATTACATACCACTCTGGCTGCACTAGTGGTGATTGAAAGCCCGCCAAAGAAGAACGAGCCCCATATGACAAATAGTAAAATGATTGCTCCTGTGGAATTGCCATATCTTCCATGAAATGCATCATACAGTATTTGTGCTGGCACAAATGCTCCTGCTGTCTCATTGGTTGGATCATAAAGATAACCAAAATCCTGAAGAGTTTGGTAACAACTAATGTTACTATTTTGTGTTTCCCATTTAGATTGAAGCTAGCCTTTGGTATATCAAGTTTTATAGAATTGGAACAATAAACTTTTTGGTTAATGTAGTCTAAAACTGTGATCGAACTAATGATTTATTGATCTTTCAGCAGAGTAAAATAGTCTAATCTGGTTTTCATCACGTGGCTATTATATTTATTTTATATTCTAAAGGTGTTTAGTATACTGATATGAAAATGTCATAGACCACTAATATGTTTACCTGAATGCTAAACGTGAGAGCCAAAATGTAAGCCCATCCAAACACAGAAATGATCCCAATGCTGCCTAGAATTGCTATAGGTCCATTCTTATCTGCTCCTTTGGTTTCTTCAGTAAGGTGTGCTGCAGCATCATATCCATATAGGGAATACTGACTCACAAGGAATGACAGAATCACTGCATAAGGTTTGCTTGATACTCCTGTTGATTCTGATCCCACTTCAAAATGTGTGAACACATAAGAAGCAGATTTCCTAGTTAGTGCCACCATTGGCAACATTATGACTATCACTGTCCCACCTATCACCTGCCATAGAATAGATGCTTTTGTTATCCTACCTTCTCATCTTTGAAGTTGTATGACACAAAAGTAAGACTGAAGTTTTTGTCAGATAACACAACTATATGCATATGAATGCTTTAAACTTAGAGACTTGATCTCTTTCAAAGAAAATTGAGAGAGAATAGAATATGAGTAGGTCCTACATATCAGTATGGGCTCTGCTCCTATCTATTTCTCTCTTTTCACTTGTTTCTGGTTAGTGGAAGAGTTTAGTACCTGCCACCATATTGAAATCATGTCGATCAAGGCAATAACTTCCAATGCAAATGTGTTCAGAGCTGCCCATATAACAGTGAGGCCAATGTACATGCACAAGAAAAGCCATTTTGGAGCGAAGTAACCTCCACCTTTATTTGTGCCTGTGCAAAGTAGGATTATACTCTGCAAAGTTTGTGATCCTGCATATGCCTTTTCAATTTTCATCCATATGAATTAACAGAGTTAATATATAAACAAGAAGCAAGACTCCTGTCCAGAAATTTCATCAAAAGGCAAAAACTAAGGAATACCTGGGTTCCAATCCCAGCAATAAGCCCTATGGTTTCAAGCCAAGCACAGCACCATGAGGCAAATGGTCCCCATTTGGGTCCTGCTAAATGTGCAGCCCAGAAGTACAGCGAACCAGTTGTCTATTTCGTGGAAATGAACGTGAATGTTAGTTCAATGAAGAGATTCTTAAGCTGCTCCAGTTTGTAAGGATCAAGCGATAAATTCATTCATGAATAAACAGTATGTAACAGATGGAGACAGCGTGCTGGACAAAAATGGGTGCATACGACGCTTTTGGAGAAAGGTAGCATAGAGAGAAAAATGTGTCTTCAAACAAACTTGGGTTTATTTAGTAATGAACATGACATCTTTTACTTGTTGAAATGACGTTTATTCAGTTCAGGATTTATACCAGACACATATTGATCCGGTGTCATTTTTACAGTTAAATGATGATCAACTCTTGACCACCACAAAGTCTACCTCTTATAAACCAAACTTAAGTATTAGTTCAATATTTAAAGTGGTTACAGAAAGAAGAGAACAATTGAAGATTCAATACAGGAATATCCACTTTGTGAGAAGACACAAACCGGGAAGGAAGAGCATATTTCAGCCATGGCGATTCCAACGAACCAGGTGAAGAAACAAACCACAATCCAGCCCCAAACAAGAGTTGCAGGGCCTGCATATTGCAGGCTAGAACCATAGAGAGGAGTGATTCCAGTGAAAAGGGTCATCGTTGAGAAGGATATTGCCAGAGTTTTGAACATAGTCTGCACAACAAACAAACAAAAGATTCAGACTATAACTCATTTCCCAGAAATCGAACGAGATGAAGATGAAGATGAAGATGATACCATTTCACGTCTGAGTTCTTGCTTATAACCAAGCTCGTTGAGTCGCTTCTCTCCTGAATCCATTGTAGCTTCTCCACTCATCTTCTCTTTGGTTCCACTCGCTGAAGCCAGACTCTATGTTCAGCACTTAAGCAAGCAGATAACGAGTCAGGTTATGTGGGATCTTTTGGAATTTGGACATGTAAGAAGTAGGACAAAGTCTACCTTTCTCAGTCAAAAGGCATAATTTTATATGTGAAAGGTTTCAAATAAGCTGCCAATTTTGAATTGTCACATGACGGCACTTTAAGGCGGTTTCAGATGTGCTCTTTGCTGCCCTTTCTAATATAGCAATTCTGCATTATAGTAGTATTATATATATGTATGCATATGCTCTAAGCAAGACTTTTCTTGATTGTTTGCAAGTGGGGATTTCCACGTTTGACTTTTATTAGTTGAACAAATAAAGGAGGGGCCCTTTTAAAATTGGATTAATTATTGAATTTACCTGGACATTGATTGAAAGTTCATTAGTTTAATTGTAGTCTAGTCATGGTTACGCCAATCATGATTGAATTTATATTTTTTTTTTATATAAAAAGATAATATGTAAAGATGAAAAAAATAGTTTAATCAATACTTAATCGATTTTTTTCCCCCTATTTTCGTTGATTTCTGATAATTTTATTCATTCATTTTTTTAATCATCGAACAACCATAAATATGTCATTCAATATGTTATGTAACTCAATACCTCATCATATAATGCTTGCTAAGAAACTACAGAAGGAATTTACCTTCATTATAAACATGACACCTCTTCATTTTTAAATTTATAATTTTTTTACGGAAGTATACATGGCAAACAGCAAGGGGTTTTCATAATTCCATGAGAAAGTTTTAATAATGCATATGATTATAATGGATATTATATTCAAACAATATTTGGAAATTTTTTATATTATTATATCAAGTTCTTAAATCGCACGTAATTATAACTAGTAATTTTAAGATATTTTACTGAATAATAAACTCACATAAAAAAAAGACATGTTGATATGTTTGGTTGAAAAACTCAACATAATATATAAAAAAATTTTAAATAAATATTTTTCTATTCTAAAAATAGTAAAAAGCAACATAAATTTGTTAATGACTAATTTAATTAATTTTTTAAAATATTTTAAAATTAATTTATCTAGTTCTGATGAAAAAAAAAAAGTGTTTGTGAAGCGTCACATCGCAGCATAGAGCTCGAGCTTCCTCTTGCGTTAGACAGTTGTCACTTCATGCTTTTCCGGGATTCATATGATTTGTGATACAGAAGAAGCATGAATATTGCAGGACAGAAGCTGCTCCGTCAACGAGCTGAAGCAACTTCTCAGAGCTATTTCTTAGGAGCAATGCTTGAAAGATCAAAGATGAGGAGAATGTAATAGTAGTGGTTAAAGTGGTATTTGAGATATCTTGTGAGGGTGATTTCGGCAATTCGATTGAACCTTTGTGGTTGATAGGCATATATGGTAGCGAAGTAGACTACGTGGAAGGGGGCGGGGAGTCCGAAATAAAATTATCAGGTGCCGTTCTTGTTTCTTGTGAAAACTTGCTTCGAGCAGGAGGATTCTTCATTGCATGAAGAATTGAAATTTGCTAAAATAATGGCCATGTTTTTGCGATTCCATTCGCAACCGCGCTTCTTCTCTGTAAGTTCGACTTTTCTCTTTCTGCTTGATTTCTTCGTTTATCTGTCACTGTCTTCTGGGACAACTTTTGGAATTTGCCGCTTCTGTGGAAGCCCTTGATTAGATTGGAGCTGCCGGTTAAGCAGGGGTCATGACATATTGACTCTTGTCTACGCTGTTGTCCGAAGAATGACGTCCGTTTATCTATTGGTTGTTAATCTTGTCCGCTTTGTTTTAATTTCTTTCTGTGTCTGAGTTCAGTTAAATTCTTTCATGCGTTACTTTCAAAGGCAGGGTAATCTTCGCTTGAAACTTGACTCACTAGAAACTGTCATCTGGATAATTTGGAGAATCTGAATCCTCTCAAGTGAGTGAATGGAATTTGTCTCTCTAGTGGAAGAGGCTGCCCATTGGGTTTTTTTTTTTTTTTTTGACGGTTTTAATCCGTAATTCAAGATGATTCCCACTTCTATTTCTTCTCTTCTGCTGTATCTCTTGAGTATCTGTGGAGACAATGTGGATATTTACAGTTGTGTCCTACATTCTTGAAATTGAGATATCACTAGAAAATTTTCCTTAGGATACTGTTCTCGGTAAATATTTGATAGCAGAGCGAAGAGATAGCTATCTACCCCTTTGTAAAGGACGCCATGAAAGTCGTGCACTCCTGGATTAAATGGTATGTTAGGTTGTCTTTCTGCTCTAGATAAATTCTTTATATAAAATTCAAGGGATAATTAATCTCCAGGTCTTTATAGTTTTATCTGATTTTTAATTAGGTCCTTATAAAATTTTTTCTTTTTATCAGATCCTTTTACTTTCGTGTGTTTTTAATTAGGTCCTTCTATTTTTTTTTCTTTTTATCAGGTCCTTATAGTTTCACTTATTTTTTAATTAGGTGCTTTGTAGTTTTTGAAAAATTATTTATTAACTTTATTCTTTAAAATTAATTTCATTTTTAAATTAATAATTATATAATTGGACAAATAATTAATATAACCATTTAGTAATTAATAAACAATCAGAATAATAATTATAATTAAATATAAATTATTTATAATCATATTTTAATTTTAGATAAATTTATTTTTATAATTTGAATTTTATAATTATAAAAATTCGAATTGAAAATAAATAATATATTTGTTTAACTAAAAATTTAAAAAATATTAACATAAGATTGTTACAATAATTTATTATTTTCAAAATGTTATTATTTGTAAAATAAAGAATAAAAACTACAAGGACCTAATTAAAAACAAAGTAAAACAATAAGGACCTGATAAAAGAAAAAAATTATAAGGACTTGATTAAAAATATATGAAAGTATAAGGATCTGATAAAAAGAAAAAAAATTATAGGGACCTGATTAAAAATCAGTTGAAACTATAAGGACTTATACATTAATTATCCCAAAATTCAATCAGGAGCAAATGGTGGGTAGTGTGGAAAACTGATCTTCACTTTAGACAAGCCTTCCTAGTTAGATTTGTGAAGCTCGTATTGCATTGTTCCTAGAGCAGACTATATTTTTTATTCCTCAAGGCCGAAAATATATATACAGTCTGCTCTTATAATGAAATAAAACTGAAATAAGAGGAAAACATAAAAAGGTAAATGGAGCATTTGTTTGGCGAAAAAAAAAAGGGGAGCATTTGACTCTCACCACTTTTCATTTGTCTATTCTTCTGTCTGCACGAATAATAGTCATGCCACATCTTTGACTTAGATCTTTTAATGCACCTACACTATTGCTGAAGCACTTGATAATAAGTTTATTCTGTGAATATGCAGTCCTTTAGGATTACGAGGGATATGGTAGGGAGTATTTTAACAGGCAAGTATACTTGACGTCACATGCAAACCTCATCTGTAGAACATTGAACTTTTCTGTTTTTACCACACAATAGTGGCAAAATTGACTAATTGTTTGCATTTTTTCTTGATGTCCATAGATATTGTTCAATCAAGTTGTGGAAGTTCGTACCTGTCAAGAAGAGGAAGAAGAGTAATATCTTTCAAAGGCTCTGTTAAGTTTGTACAAACATCATGTCGACTCTCTGTTCCGGGGATCTCACCCAGAAATGAAGGAAAAACCTGCTCTAAAACATTGAGGGATAAGAAGGCGGTTCCTAATGCAGATCCTCCCAGTATCAGAGATGTTAACCTTTTGTATCAATTTTTTGATAATAGGTCAATTTACACAACTTGCCAATTTTAAAATTCCCTTAGAGTTCTATACTCATTGCAAAGTTTAAAGGTTTCCTAACTGGGTACCAATCTTAAATACAGTACCAAGCTCATGGTATTGACTGGAGCTGGAATCAGCACCGAGTGTGGTATCCCTGATTATAGAAGGTTCTGCTTCCTCTTTCCATTTCAATTGCCACTGCAACAAGCCTAAGGAAAATATTTATTAAGGAATATTAGTTTTCAGTCCTATGCTCAGATTACTATTTGCTAATGTTATTTGCAAAATTTGCAGTTAATTGGGCAATAGTAGTGCTTACTTAGGACTTTGTAGTTTTTGTGGCTATGACATTTAAAAAAATTAAAATTTATATCTGTAAAACAAGGACTGAATGCAATTGCTGACGCACATCTTATTTTTTGTCTAACAGTATGCTATCCTTTCTATTGCAGCCCCAGTGGAGCTTATAGTACTGGTTTCAGACCAATAACCCATCAGGTGATCTGAAGGCATGTTCACCCAAGGCTGCTCCTTTGTGTGCCCCTCTAGCGTCTAAATGAGATAGTATAGGGTGTATCTCTTGCATAATTTTGTCCCGGAAAAAAAAAATCTTGCATGTAGAAATCATGTGTTGACTTTGATCTTCTATGATTGGGTCATTTTAAAGAGAAGAAAAGTTATTATATGAGTCATATAACAGTATGGAAATTTCAACCTGGGGAAAATATAACTGTTAGTTATTGAATTTTCTCTCAATTATCAATTAAGTTCCTAACTTTGATTTATTACAACTGAGTAGTTTATTGAATTGAGGAATTATAGGGATTGAGTTGTTCTGAGTTCGAAATTTATACGGACTAAGTTGTTCTAAGTTAAGAAACTATAGGGGCTGAGTTATTCTGAGCGTGTTCTCCTAAAGAAAAATAAGAAAAGGGCTTCAGTTATTGATGAAGACGTTAAGAATCTTGTATTAGGTTGGGCATTTCAAAATTGAGAATGTATAAATGAACTAGGACCTCAACCAGAGATTTGCAACAAGATTAACTTGAAAAAAAAAAAAATCAAGGATGGACTTCAATCTCTCAGGCCTTTTTTAAAAGTTTTTTAATGAATATTTATTTTCATGTTCTCCTTTCTATTGACATTATTTGTAAGCAGGAATTTGTCCGTTCTAGTAAAGCCCGCAGGCGATATTGGGCCAGAAGTTATGCTGGATGGAGACGATTTACTGCTGCCCAACCAGGTGTTGCTCATCGTGCTTTGGCTGCATTGGAGAAAGCTGGCCGAATCAATTTTATGATTACCCAAAATGTTGACAGGTGATGATTATTTATTTACTTTTCCTAGCTTGGAAAGCTTTAGATAACACAAGCAAGCTTACCAGGGATTTTCTTGTATCTTATTCTCAGACTGCATCATCGTGCTGGCAGCAATCCTTTGGAGATACACGGGACTGTATACACTGTCATATGTATAGATTGTGGATTTTCCTTTTGTCGAAGTGCATTTCAGGATGAACTGAAGGCCCTTAATCCAAAAGTTAGTATTTTGCACCTAGTTTCCAAGAGTAATGTATATGACCAATGAAGGCTTGATATTTGAAGATGCTTATTTTATTTTTTAGGATAAGATTTATTAGCACTTGACTAATGCTAAAAATGGAATCAGCAGACAATTTCATGATACCCTCGGTTAAATGACTGTAACGATCCCTTAAGTTTGATTATTATAGAAACAGAGTTAACACCAGTTTATCAGCGCATGTGGTTGGTTGTATTTTGCTGGGGATTTTATCTCTGATCCTCCAGTTTTTCCTTAAACCTGAGAGAAGGTGGCTTCTTAAAAGAAATAGTCCGAGTCACTTGGTATCTGACAGAGGCTGGACATTTGTTGAGTTAAAATAGAGATCAAGAGCAAAACTTCCAAGGGAAAAGGACTAGAAGAAAACAAGTGCTGGGAACTACAAGACTAATTTCTTCCATAGGATAGTCCGTATACAGAGGACTAGATTCCAATTACAAAACGAATTGTTCAAATCAAGCTACAAGTACAAGACCCAAAGTACTAACTTATACCAATCCTAGGCCATATTTGTGATAGTGGAGCATAACGATGTGGCCAAGAGGTGGAATGGGGTTATCCACTAAGTGCTGCAACAGCCATTGTTATTATATCTTACATATGTTCATGGCGCCAAAAAAAAAAAAAAGCTATCGTCATGCATCTCCCACTCACGTGCACATTATATTTCATTTTGTTTCATTCTTGGTGAATGTTTCATTTGACTGATCTTTTGAATGTACAAGTGGGAATCCATGTTTCTCAATACATGTGTCAAGAAGGCTGAGTACCTATAATCATGAGTTTTCATTTTCTGATGAGCTGATATTTGAAAAGTAATGTTACATTGCAGTGGGCTGTCGCAATTGAAAGCTTGGACCAAGGTGAGCCTGGATCAGACAAGAGCTTTGGCATGAAACAAAGACCTGACGGTGATATTGAGATTGATGAAAAGTTTTGGGAGGAGGATTTTATCATCCCAAGCTGTCCGAAGTGCAATGGAGTTCTCAAACCTGATGTACGCAATTTTTCTACTCACCAAAAGGCTATGAAATTTATGTATGAAACAGTTTTTGGCTAATTGCTTTTGTCATATTAATTCCCTTACATAAACAAAGGTCTGTTATTTGGTTGTCCAATATGTACAAATGTGTCTGATGATTTTGAATTGTGAACTAACAATATTTCAGCTGCTGTCTAAGTAAATTGTGAAATGCTTACAGTCTGTTTTGGTGTTTCACTTTAAAAGTTTAAATGATTATTCTTGAAGGTGGTCTTCTTTGGTGATAATGTTCCCAAGGACAGAGCTGATATGGCAATGGATGCATCTAGAAGTTGTGATGCTTTCCTTGTGTTGGGATCCTCTCTGATGACAATGTCTGCTTTTCGACTTGTCAGGTAGATAAATATTACCCTGTTCTCTCAGTTAAGATGCTAAGTTTAGCTCACATTTGTATGTGTTGAACATATACGTATATGGTCTGCAAAATGCTAAACAGTTGAGTAAGCAAATTTTATAACGTAGTATGGATAAACTTCACAGTTTTAGACCTTAGAATTGAACTTTTGATACAGTTATGGTTATGCATTAAAGTTGTTAAACCATGAATGTGTGATCTTACATAAACTTCAATAATGTAGACAGTAGCTGTTCCTTTTGCCATTTTCATTTAGATTTCAATCAACAAGCTTCTTGTGATTTTGCTTTTGGGAACTTTATAATAGATATTTATGAGCAATAATTTACACCGTCTTGCATTTTGATGCAAGGGACTCTCTCCCGCGGAGCATCTTTTCTTCTCTGATTAACCCCTGAACTTCTAACAAGGAAATATTTTTCCTTTGCCCCTCGTTCTTTTCTCTGGCTGCGTATCAGGCTGATGATGAGGTTTATAAACTCTACTTTCACAGGGCAGCTCAGGAGGCTGGTGCTGCTACAGCAATTGTAAATATTGGTGCAACACGTGCTGATGATCTTGTGCCCTTGAAAATCAATGCGCGATTGGGTGAGGTAGGGCTTTTTAAATCATCTTCACTATCAGTAGCAATTCTCAATATTGGAAGTTGCTCGTCCTCAACTGATGAGCATGCATCGGTGCAGATTCTTCCAAGAGTACTTGACATGGGTTCCATGAGCATCCCTGCTGTGTAGCGACTTTACAGGACGAGTTTTCATTGGGTACATGTTCCTTTCCACCATATCTAAATCATTTTTGTCCAGTGGGTTCTGCAATCCGCGCAAAACTCTATGAATTAACAGCTTATAATTACACTGAATTTAAGGACAAAAGGATTGATTGAATGAGTTGATACTTGCAGGAATTTGTATAGACGTGGAGATGAGTGTTTAAGTTTCTCACGGATTGTTTCAAAATAACTTCATCCAGAAATCATGCTGTTATGTGATAATGTATTCCACATTGATTAAATGTTTATTCTTACATTCATGCCCATTCCCCAGTAAGAAGTTGGATTTATAGGCTCCTTTTTTAATTAAGAAAAATTATTATTAAAGTTTCCTGTGCAATGTAATGAAATACAGGATAATATGTAACGGATATTTGTTTTATACTCACTAGAAATATATGAATTATCTTCAGGCTGTTATCTAGAGAGTTGGGTATCCACATCCCACTCTTTATATCATTCATGAGTTAAAAGGGGGAAAAAAATTAAGAATAAAATGGCGTGCTCATTTGAAGATGCGATATAATTCAATCTTTCAATAAAATTCCACGCATCATATCAACATAAAATTTATAACATACTATGTTACAGCTCATACTCATCATATTTCATGCTAGGCACATGAGTTCGCCTGGTTATTAGAATATGACAGAAAAAACATAAATAACCTAATTTTAAATAAATTTGTGGGCAGCAGCTGAAATGCCAAAAGTCGAGCAAGTAAAAAGCATAAAACATGTAAAAGCAAATCTTAATGACATGCTGCTCTTAACGATAAAGGAAATCGCTAATCACTAATTAAACATACAAAAGTGCAGTCAAGCGTTTTTCAGGCATTAAAGAGGGTCAATTTCAAATCCCCACCTTCCACACCCCTATAAAAAACCCAGATCCCCAAGATATTTTCGGTAACAACTAACAAGGTCTTCATACTAAGGTAATTACATAATATTGCCCTGTCAGTGCCACTGCTAACCCACGAAACTAAAAGAAAATTCCAAGTTAGCAATAAGATTAATGTATCCACTTGATCTCCCTTCCTAGGAATCCTCCGCAAGAGCATCGTCAATTTTATCAACATGATCCCGAAGCACTTTCCACTGCACAGACCATAACGAATTAATCATATAGAATAATAATGACATCAAAATATTTGGTTCTCATTGTATCAAAATACACACACACGTTTGGTTCTCAGATACCTAGACCATAAATAAGACAGGAGAGGGAACTAACAAATCGATATCAAAAACTCTAGGGATTTACCTGGTCAATGCTCAGTGAGATACCTGAAAACAATGTGAATACGTCATTGTAGCTCATGTTTATAAATACGAAAAATTTTACAAGTAACAAAAAGCATGTACAATACTGACCAAGGAAAACAAGAATTCAACATTTATGTCCTATATGTCCCAACAGAGGGCCATTCTTGCTTATTTAAATTCTTTCAAGTATAAACATAAGCAGCGGACACGCACAAAAGCATGCACCAGAACACAGCCACACAAAATGTTATCAATATGAAAATAGAAAACACACACACAAACAAGTTCATTAAGTGCAAAAATTCAACCTTTTTTCTTAAGAAAAGATTGAAGTTTAGATAGTTTGTTCTACCTCCAACGAAGAAAGCACCACAATTGGCGGGTGCCTACCAACAAAGGATAGTTATCATAGGACTGCGGTCGATACAGCTCAACCATATAAATTAAGCTAACCTTTAACACAACAGGTTTTAAGAATATAAGAAAAAGATTATTAAACCAACAAAAGAAGGCATAAGCCAGGAAGAAAAAGATTCTTTAGAAGGGCAGAAGCAAGCACACATAAGTTGTCAGTATAAGTTAGCCTACAAAACACATGCTACGAGCTTTCCACAAACAGTTAGCATAGAAATACTATGTCAAGTATCAAAAACTTTATAACTCCCATGTCACAATATGGGTCTTCCAGCCAAAAGAAAGAAAGAAAGAAAAAGGAAATCAATGACAAATTTTAGGCAGACGCAGATTTTTTTCTTTCAGCGTCCTATTACAATCAAAGTATTGTAACTGAAGCAACATTTTAAAGGCTACAAATCTAAGAACAAACAGTTTCCAAAGACTAAAGGCACGTTCATCCTGTTCTCCGAACAACAGCAAACGAACACAAGTGACGATCATCACGCATCAATAATCGATAATGCCACACAGACTGGTTAGTCGGTGATAAAAACCGGAGGCTATGAAAAGTGCAGCCATAAATTTCAATTGCAAAAAAAAAAAAAAAAGTCTCTTCAAGGCAAGCATAAAAATGAAAGTTCAAAACCCTAGAATAAGCATCGAGTAATCAAGAGTTTCAAGAACCTTTCTTTCCAGGCAATTGCTTCCCATCCTTGACGTAAAATTCCCGAATATCTACCCAAATCCTGCCATTCCAGGTCCTCACAGTCACCCGTCTGTTCTTAGATATCTGCAGGAAGAAAAGGAGCAAATCTCCATTAACAAAACCCTAAGGTTAGCTAAGTCAATTCATATGGGTTGATATGGAGGGAAGGGGCACCTCGCAGACGACGATATCATCAGAGTCACCGGAATCCTTCTTTTGGAACTTCTTAGGTGGCGCGTGGCCCTCAGAATCGCCGTCGGAAGCGTGATCCTGGTCGTCCTTCCTCTTTCCTCTTTCGGACATCCCTGGAAGCAGTAGCAACGCTCAAAGTAACTTGCTTCTTCGCAGTCCCGACTCCGAGTGACCGTGTGCTGTGCAAGAGAAATGAAATCAAAATTATTAAAAAATGTACATATATAAAGCCCGGAAAAATAGGGATACATCTTTGATTAAAAATTTAATTGATAACTGTCTGTAATTTATTGTTTTTGCGTGTAATAATTTTTTTCCTGCGAAATGCAAATCAATTCCCTTTATACAAATAAAATTTGTTTATGTGTAAGTCATCTTCTATAAGCAAACTAATTTTTTGTGTCCAAATAATATTTTATATAAATCATCTTTTTTTTTATATAACTTATCCTTTTTTATATATAATTAATTATTTTAAAGACTATTTACTAACTAAATTTGTAATGAGAATTTTTTCTAATTTTTCCTGTAAAGCCTTTTCAAACTACAGAACAGAGATAAAGAGGCGGGATAGAAATCTAGAACTTGGAGGCGCGAACCCGGGGGTAATAAATAGGGAAAATTGCTAAATGATCCCAATTGCAAAATTGAACCATGAAATTTGTTTTGTTTAAGGATCTTGAACAGTACAAATTTTCTTGGGTTTGTGCAGTTTATCTCTTTGTAAAATGAAAAATATTTGCACGCAACTAAGGACAGACTATGCATAAGTGATAGTCTCCCTTTATGTTTGCTTAAATATTTAATAACTTTTTTAATTTTTACTCAAATTAATTATGTGTTTCTCCCATATATTTTTGCTCATTTATTTTTTCATCTCAGTCATCAATTTCATAAATAAGGATATATTAACCAATATTTTGATGTACATTGCATAATTAGTTGTTACTTATATAATAGGATTGGAAATAGTAAAAGTAAAATTATAGGTTGATTGCGTTTCATATTAGTCTTTAACCAATAACAATACTTATGAGCGGGCAGAGGAACAACCGCTGCAAGATTTTAATTTTATTTTAGGCTAAAGTATATTCCTTACTTTCCTCTTTTTAATTTTAAAAAGCATTTTTTTAATTTTTTGATTCAATTTGACACTTGTTATTTCATAATCAGAACTTATTATTTTTAGATGAAATGTTGTCATTTTTAATTGTTTTAAATGTTATGTATTAAAAAAACTCAAGACATGTTTTTCACAATTAGGATTTATTATTTCCAAATTAACTATTATCATTTTTAACTAATTCATATGTTATGTATCTAGAAAAAATATGTTGTTAATTCTAACTCTAGACTTATTATTTCATAATCAAGATTTGTTATTTCTAGATAAATTGTTATCATGAGTTGAAGTCAAAATAAAGAAGTTGGCTTATGTTTTTATTTTGTGTAATAATGTTAAGAAATCTTTTTAACTCAATAGTTACCTATCATTTTAGCAACAACCTGGTTAGGGAATTTCTTTCCTCCCCCTTAAAAAAAATCCTACCGGTAGTCACCTCGTTGGTAGCCGGTGCAGAAGCTACGAAACAAGTAAGCTACCAGCCAATTGCCGACGACTAGTCATCAACGTGGTAATTCTGTAAAGGGTCCAAACCTTTTTTTAAAAAAATAATAATAAAGGGGTATTTTTGTAATTTTTTTTGAATCTCAAAATTTTAATTGAAGTTTACTTCCTTCTCTCTGGTTTTGAAGTGTTAGGTACTTAAATTAAGATATTATAATTTTAGGCCTTTTTATCTGTCATTTTCCCCTATGATTTTTCCCAAATCAAATTTAATTATTTACTTTGTACAGAGTCTTAAATATATGTACACGAATAGTGTTTCGATCAACAAATTTTGTATACAAACACATAATGGAAAAATTACAAGATAAAATATTTATTAAAAATTAAATTAAAAAAGAATCATTAACAGATAATAAATTTCACGTTATTCATTATTGGGATTGAATTTGTTTGCGCTCCACTTTCCGTACCTATTTTTCTTTGCTGGCCGAGGGTGGCTTGTTTGCTTTCACGCCTTTGTGATAGTCCAAAGGCTATTCCAATCCGAGTCCTCCTCGCTGGATTCTGGTGGTCTCTGCTCTTCAACTGAAAATTTTCTGTGACACGTACAAAGAAAACAGAAAAACCTACGACGGCTTTATCTGCGTTGGGAAGCTAGCTCTTCATTGATGAGTTTCTGTCTTCCTTTATGATCCCAAGCTAAAATCTTGTTTTCCTCCGATCAATCTCTGGTGGTACAACCTTCTCTGTCACAGAACGTACAAAACTGATGGGAAATTTATTTGTCAAGAAGCCAAAAGTAACCGATGTGGATCGAGCAATCCTCGCGCTCAAGACCCAGAGACGGAAGCTTGCTCAATATCAACAAAAGGTTCCTTTTTTTTTTTTTTCAATTTTCTGTTTTAATCCTTTGGAGGCATCGATTAAAGTTGTGTGTGTACATTCTCTATCATTTGTTTGTGCAGTCAGTCAAGGATTTGGAATACCGAAAGAAGAGAATTTTCAGGCTTATATTAGGGAATTTCAAAATTGTAAAATCCATTCACTGTTTCAGATTGCATGCCAATGGCAGATTGCCTTGTTATGCATGGCTTTATTCTTTCTGTTATTTCATTTCACTTCATTTTTTGAAGTCTTAACTATTGGGTAGGGGATAAAGAAAAGAAAGAAAGTAAGATTCCTTCGGCTATGTGTTTGCTTTTACAAAAGCTTATTGAAATTCTTCAAAAAAAATTGCCATTACTCGGTTAAATGCTTTTGGATCGTAAACAGCTTTGTTGATGTATTTCCAACTTGACTCAAAATGTCTTGTATAGATGTCATGCTTAAAGTAGTTTTGCCATGACAGTTAGATTGTAACGCAAATGAAAAGGCGGGAAAATTTGGGGCTAAAATTGATTATACGAACTTGTTCTCCACTGCTGAAATTATAATATGTAGGTTACCTCAAGTCACTGACTTTGGTGTCAGGACCGATTAAAATTGGGCTGCGGCTCCCTGCATGGTAAGTTGAGGTTGTGAGATTAGCACTTAAGGATTTTAGTCCCATCTATTATACAAAAGGAAGTAGTTAATAAAATGGCTAATCAATATTAATTATCAAATTGATCTAAAATTTAAATCAATATCAAACCTAACTATTTAGAAGCCATAAACAATGTAGCTTGTTTCTTAGACTTTGTACGATGCTTTGGGAACCTACCTGGAGAGGAAAAATATGCGGTAGATTGAGTTTATTTTGCTGAAATTATCCACAGCTGGGAGTTTTTTCTGCATTTGGTTTGTTCTGGAATCACTTTGACAAATTTTGGCTGTTGAGATAGCATGTTAGGTACACTTTGGTGTCTTAAACTGGACTTATGCTTGTAAAATTTATCAATTTTGAGGAAATAATCAAGAAGCATTTGTAGTTCTTTTTGGGGATCATCTTTCTTGGCTTGAATGATGATTCCTTTATAATCACTATTATGCTTCTTTAAGTGAGAACTTGCATCTTAAGCACTGTGGTTCTCATCAAAATACTTTATCTTATGAGTTCTGAGCCTTGTACATTAAAGATTTGGAATGTAGATTTAAAGTGCCCACCATAATAAGGTTAAGCAGCTAGTATTACAGAGTTTTGTTCTTCAATTTGATTGGAAGTATAATTCTTAATTTTTTCCCCTTCACTGCCACTTGTGCTTTTGATTTTTCATAAAACAAGGAAGAATAAGCCTTGGGAATTTGAGCCACTGTCTCTTATGTTTTTCTCTGTATTCTTTCCCTTTGATACAGCTTTTATTGTGCTCCAGTTCACTCTATGTTCTGGCAAAAGAACTCTGTTAAAGTGTTAATTATCTCATGGAGAAAAAGGAAAAATAAATAAAAAAGAAAAAAAGAGCACTGTCAATGTAATTAGTATTTACTAGTGTGTCATCATGAGCACATAATGACAAAGGCCTTACATTTCATTTTGTGCGCTAATGTGGCTACAACATATTTTGCACTCTGACATGTAATAAATAATAAGTACACTTGTAGGGAAAATTCTCAAGCTGGGGTGAGATTACGCCTGTTTATATGGATGCCATTGTATGTTTGTGCAATGCATGCATATATCCCTGCCGTGAAATTTACAGGGACAATTGCACTTTGTTTCACAACGGTGGCCCGTACATCTAGCCAAGCAAATGCTTGAACTTCCGCAGAAATCATAAAAGTATACTGCACCTTGTGAACGGGATGTTAGTTGTGAAAATAGCATAGCTGAACACAATGGCTGCACTTTTTGTTACAAGCTAGGAAGTGAAACTGTAGTTACACATCTGAGCGAATTCAGTATCACCAGAGTTGTATAAACTGCCCAGTCAACAGTTAGAGTGTTTCATTTAGAATTTCTAACATTTGGATAGTGTGTTATTGGATATTTGACCTTATGTTCTTTTGTAATTTTCTTGTTCCAGCTTGATGCTGTTATTGAAGCTGAGAAGCAAGCCGCAAGAGACTTGATCCGTGAAAGGAAAAAAGACAGAGCCTTGTTAGCATTAAAGAAAAAGAAGACGCAAGAAGATTTGTTAAAACAAGTTGATGCCTGGCTTATAAATGTGGAGCAACAAGTAATAATTTAATATTAAATTTTGTTCATTTTTTTCTACTTAATGATTAGATCAAGAGCTGTTCAAGATGGCTTTATAATTGTCTTATGGTATATGATTTAGTTTAATGCTCCTTTCAATTGCTATTCTGAAGTAATGAATGACATATTAGTCATTGGTAATTGGTAAAGCCTCGGTGATGTGCTATCGTTCACCATAGTGCCACAAGGCTGCTTTACTTATAGTTGATTTTTTGCATAGAAGTTACATGCTGATTATCCCTTTGGTTCAGTTGGCAGATATTGAACTAGCAAGTAAGCAGAAGGCTGTGTTTGACAGTTTGAAGGCAGGTAATGATGCAGTTAAAGCCATACAGAGTGAGATAAACATTGATGATGTTCAGAAGCTTATGGATGATACTACTGAAGCGAAGGCTTATCAAGATGTGAGCCTGACATCACTTTCATCCTCATTTGTGCTGCTTTTATTGTAAAACCATTGCACTAGGTTTCGGCTAGTTTGGTTGAGTTTTAAAAACATATGTGGGAAGTAGTATCTGGCAATTTATATTTAATTGCTTTTTTCTTTTCACATTTCCTTCTCAGGAAGTTATTCTGATGATATTGGATACTAACTGGTGGGCGGCATATTTGTGTTGTTTTTGAAGGAAATTAATGCAATCTTAGGGGAGAAGTTATCTGCAGAAGACGAGGAGGAGATTTTAGCAGAATTTGAGGACTTGGAAACTCAGGTACATGGATTGTCGACTTTTTCTTTATAACAGCTACTTTCCAATGTCATCCAACCAACACTGTTCTATATTCCAGTCGTACTTCTTAATGAATGATATTTTTGCTAAGTTGGAATGCGACCTGTTTGCTGCAATTGACTGTATAAAGCAACTCCCGAGTAATGCTTGCTTGTGTCTTAAAAGGATTCAACTTGTCTCTGCATGACCTGAAAGTACTGAACTCATGAATATTTCATGGCATGATTAATTCCAAATTAGGAGTGCCATTTGAAGAAATGAAATCATGAGCCTTGTGGGTTAGAAGACTTCTCTCGGTTGAAGGAGGCATGGATGTTCAATATTGTGCTCCTATAATTTGTTTATTCCACAGTAATTAACATGAAATTAAATTGTTTTCCTTTCAGCTTATGGTTCAAGACCTTCCTGAAGTTCCTACCACAGAGCCTGAAGGCATCAAGGAGGAATTGGACCTTCCTGATGTCCCAACCAAAACACCTCCTGCACCTGCAAATGATGCTGCAGTTTCCGCAAAAGCAAAAGGTGTATATATATATTTTATCACCTCTCTCCCACTTTTCCGACCCTCCAAATTTTGAAAATAAGCTCACTGTTGGTTATTGATGGTGTCACAGTTATGGAGGAACCACTTCCAGCTTAAAGTGCATGGCGGCCGGATTAGGCAGAGCATCTGGTTTATATATTCACATGCTACTCCAAACTTATGCAATTGCCGGAATTTAGGTTGGCTTTAGTATCTTCAGTCCCTATGACATTGGATTTGTACAGAGATGCTTGTATATTTTCTTTTGTTTTTTGGCCAACGAGATGCTTGTATATTTTACTTATTCAACGTAAATGATATTACGGAGCACGCCAAATATTTTATTTTGGTAAGCACTCTTGAGCTCGTGATGGACTGTTACAGAAATAACGGTATCTGGCATGCATAACGATGCACGGGGGGCCGCTTCGATTGCAAGAGACAGACCCTTTTCAGTGGAAAGGAGAGAGGATTTTGTTAAGTTTTAACGTTTGGTTCAGAGATTATGCTTTCTAAGTGAATGGAGATTCATCCCAGAACTTGATTGCCCGATTCTTAAGTGAATGGAGAACCATCCCAGAACTTGGAGAAATGGATGGTTCCTAGATGAATATCTGTTCTTTAGTTTGGTGAGGATTTCACTCCACATTTTCAGAGCTCAATATCTGTTCCAGCTCTTCGCTTCTATGTGGCCATCTTCATTGTTTCATGGTTCGTTAACAAAATACTTTGCAAATTCGTATCCTTGAAATTCTGATTGTGCCTGCTCTTGTATTTGTATCCTGGAAATCCGCTTTCTGAGGTTTTACTTTTGAGAACAAAGACTGACCGATTTTTTTTTTTCCCCTAAAAGGCAATGTGATGATGTAGATCCAAGGGTTTCGTTCGCGAAGTTGAGTGTTCAGTTATATAATTGTGTTATGGAATGATTTTGCACCGAAATACGATATATATCATATATGATGCATAATTTGTATTGCACAATTTTTACGCACGATTTGAATCTATAAATGAGACCGATCTAATTAAAAGCGCAGCATTCCAGATTTACATGTTCCCTATGTCCTGTACATTATATTGCCTTTTATTCTTTGACATCTTAAAGGGAAAATGTAGAACATTTGTCAATCAACAATAATGGGTTTTCTATTTCGGCCATTCAATAGGATAGCAAATAATGAGATTACAGTATGGGATTGTACTTTGCTTGACACAACCAATGTCACAACAATCATATAGCAATTACCAAATGAGTACAAATCATTATTGTGATCCTGTATTAATGTCTACCATTTATAATACAGAGTCATACAGCATCATATACCCGTAAGGTTGCGAGGGAAAAGCTTATTCTATTACATTAATAATCTATAACGCACCATTTGTTATCCCAAAGACTGCCTCCAACTTAGATCTCTAGAAGAAAGTGACAAGAAAACCTTGACAGCAGGAGTTGCAACTCACAATACCAATATGTTTATAGTAAAGCCATTCTTCAAACTTGTTATGATGTCATCAGCGGGGCAAAAGGAATTGAATTTCCAGCCATTAAGATACTAGTGTTTCTTGCCTGTCAAAAGAAGAAAGCAACCCCAGCTTAGAATGCCTTTCATTTTAACTCTGAAGGGGATAATATGCTTCAGGGAAACTAGCAGAGAGGGTCAACCATCTTGAGATTAGTGTATGAAGTCTTTTCCCATCATGAATTTTCTGGAACCAATCTAAACAAGGGCAGTTTAATTAACCAAAGAGGCATATAACCATGTCTATATTGATATCACACATATTTCATAAAATAAATTGACAAACTGATGCAATGCTGCTGCCATGTTCATGGGCATTCCTCCTTTCCAGTCTGATAGATGATATCTGATGGAAACTTGTAAACTTATTTCAAAAGCCAAGTTTTACGGACCAATTGTGCTAGGTTACTTGTGAATGTTATTGACCAGTTAATCCTACACAAAAGAAAAAAGAAAGAAAGAAAGAAAAAGCAGAGAACGTAGAGTGTACACGACACATTCCCAAGTGTGACAAATTATTCTCAACTCAAAAAAGCAGTCACCTTATAAATTGACAATTCATCTGCCACTCTTGATATTATAGAGTCAAAATGATACCAAATTCTGAAAAGTGGGGTATTTACAGGCCTATAAAAAAATAGGAGCATAGGGTACTTTGCAGAATCACTTGATTAATTATAAATCAATGAGAATTTCCCTTTCATTTAAACAGATATGTTTCAGAAAATGAAATGAGGTCTGTAAATTCTTGTAGTGGCTACCTTCTTAATTTCTTTTCTGAGAATCACGAACAAATTTGTGCTTTTTTCACACATGACAATACACACACACAAAGGAAAGCATAATTAATCATCAAGGTACCTACTGTTTGCAAAACTGGGGGGAAAAAAGGATGACATGTTAGGGATAAGGCAAACCTTGGTGAAGGCAAATAAGGGGAAGTGGTTTGAAAGCCAGCAAATACATTTGAGTAAGACTTCGTCAGATAAGAGAAATTGGCAACAGGAGACAGAGCAGGTACCATTTCACCTTTCTTCAATAGTTCATGCAAGTTAAGCCTTTGCAAGGTCAAAACAGCCCTTGACTCTTTCCAAATAAAGGCTAGGACACCGTTGTTAAATACAAAGAGGGAACCAGGCTTTGATCCTGGGTATCTAAACCCATAACCAGTTGCAATACCCTCTCCCACAAAAGCATGCTCAATATTTACGGGAAAAGAATCCACATCAGGGTCCCAAGGAAAGGGTTCCGATGAAGGCTCATTGGTATTTACTATAAACATTGCTGAGCCATTGGGATGCAAGACATAGTGAGTGCCTTCCAATATTTTGGTTGCAATGAGAAGCTGTTGCCCCTCAGATTCCTCATAAGAGAGCAGCAGCAGAAAAAGAGCCTTTCCAGACTTGTCTTTGCTAGGCTTTCCAGGAGGCCAACCAAAAGTCCCTCCCCAAAGACCTGCGTATTCTTGGTCAACTGTGGGAACTGGCATGCGGAGCTTATAAAGAGCAAATCGGCTGTCATGCATATTTGGCCATGCTCGATACGAAGATAACTTTACAGTTGACGCATGTAATGTTAGTTTAACTGCGTCACTCGATCTGAGAAATTCATCAAGTCGTGCATGCTTACTCTCGCTGCTCGAAGTAACCTTCTCAGAGACTGCATGACAGCCATTATTTGAACTAGATTTTCGGAGGATATGTTTAAGGCTATGCCAGAAGGCTCCACCAAGGCTTTTTCTCTTGTTGGAATTTCTGTAATTAATCACCTCGTCTGAAGGTGTACCAAAAGCCCAGGAACGAATACTAGTTTGGACTTCATCCAGCTCTAATTGCACAGCACCAACTGCCTCTTGGGAGCTAGCTTTCTCATCAATCTGAATACCATTAGAATTAAGCTTGTACATTTGAATGAGGAGACTTCTTCTTCCTGACAAGAGCAACAAATCTTTCTGAAAGTTGTCCTTGTCCACACTAAACCTAGGAAATAAGAGTTCAAGTGCCATGTCAGGAACCTTTTGTCGAACTTGACAAGTAATAATCTCAAGTAACCTTCTTCTATCGCTGAAACCTAATTTGCTAAAGGGAACCACCGACTCATTATTTCCGGTCCAATGTGATCTAGACAGTCCACTGTTTGAACTGCAAATATTTCCTGATAAATCCCCGTCTGAGCGGTGTACCATGCTGTGACTCTGCAAAAAAGTATCACCACATTTCTGCTGCGTGGGCTCAATCTCAAGCAATAGCACATTGCAAGTTCTTTCTATTTGTTTGATGAAACCAGGATAAATATAATTAATTCCGTTCTCTCTTCCATGTAGAAAAAATGCGGTTGAACCATCAGAGTCACCAAGAATTTCAAAGACGGGTGCCCAGAGAATCGGACCATCCTCCATGCCCAATGGGCCAAGCTCCTGGGGAATAACCCGGCACCCAACAATAGAAACAAAACCAGGAATGACATAGACTACATTACCAAGCTCAGGATTCTGATGAACCCACATACCAACTAATGGTTGAACGCTGGTAAGAAAACGGCAAAGTGCCTTATAAGAGGACACACCTTTTCGCCACTCAACTATGTCTTTACGGGGCAATATGTCAACCATGTCACATTGAGTGAGCCAGACCTTTTCAGAGGCCGCAAGAGCGTATAAACTCCTGCAGCACAGACTGAGATTACATACATCGCTTGGCGAGAGGAACTGGGAGACGATGGCAAATAAATCATCGGGAAGAGTTTGAAGCAAGCATGAATCGAAGGGTTTAGGTAACATAATGATCAAACCAAAATATGATTGTCAGATATGCGAGTACAAAATTTACACCAATCAAGCATCAAATGCACCCATGGCCGGACGCAGACGACTGCAATTGATCAAAGAATTAACACGAACAGAGATCCAAACTAACAACAAAATCCAAACCCCCAACGCAAACCTCAATTGTCGCGGGTAGCAAGAATCAGTAACGAAAACAACAAGCAGAAGAATGAATTGGGCAGTCTCAGATTTTGCGGGGAAAAAAGATCGAATTGAATCGGTTTGAATTGCCTCCCGTGTACTGGAATTCTTGAGTTATTGGGACCTAACGGAGAAAGAGAATTCAGAATCGAGAAGAAAAGCAAGAATTGGGGATGGGAGAGGTATTGACTGAGAGGAGTGAGGACCCAGGTCCTGTAAAGTGACAAAGACGACGCCTTGCTTCGTTAAAACGCGCCGTTTCATCTGGTTGATGCTTCCCCAGTTCACACACCTTTCTCTCTCACACTCACACACATGGACGGGACGATCAGCGTCGGAAAGATTAAAGTGGTGGCAAGTGGCGGAGAGGGAGAGGAAATTCGGCATGAACTGTGGGAGCGAACCAATGTTAAATCAGCTTAAAGCAGAAGCCAAGCCCCCAAAGTCCAAACTCAGTGACCCCACCACTCGTCCTTCTACCCATACCACTCGTATTTCCACGACGACTTACCAAAGACAAAGACCATGACTTTGTGTTCACAAATTTCGTGTGATTTAATTAATATTTCAGGACATGACATGCTCCTAGTGCTTTGAAACTGAAGAGATCGCTGGTAAACATGTTTGTTGAGTGGATAATTAAAAAAAGTGAAAACGGAGTCTTTGCTCATGAAATTTTTTACTACCTGCCGTCTTAATTATATAATCTCATTTATAAATAAGATTTTATAATTAAATCGAAAGTAGTATTAAAAAAACAGAAAAATTGCTTATTAAAAAGGTTATTACCCAAAGATAATGTAAGGATGTAATGCTTTTTTCAATTGATTGCAATAAAAATTAAATTATGCGTAAATAGATTTCATTTTGTATATAATTAAAGATAGGTTACACACGATTAAAAAAGAGTTACACATCATAAATAAGTTGCACCTGGTTGTCTAGTCCTTAAGCAAATTTTAAATATTTTAAAGCAATAAATTTTACAATTGGGAAATTTTCAGCAATCTTCTCATTAAAAAAATCAATTTTTAGAATTATAATCCATTTTAGTCAAAAATTTTAGAAAGAGTCTATTGTTAATAAAAATGTGTCACTCACTCAGTAGAGACTTTAGCTGAAATTAATTACAGCCTTATAAACTTATTTTGTAATTTAAAAAACAACTTCAAGAACATTAACTCAATTAACCAAACTTTTTAACTATGTTTTCCCTAAAAGAATAGTCATTTAATTCTGATACTTTATATTAGCTTTTATTCGGTTCTTATGTTTATTTTTTTAAAATCAGTCCTTCATATTTATTTATTTATTGTTAGCCAGTTAATCATCATTGTTTGATTTACATTAACAAACTAGCATTAACTGCACATAATAACAATTAGAAAATAAAAGTTTTCTTTGAGTTTTTTTATATGGTGAAAGAAAGAAGATTAGTGATATAGGAGTACTTACATATTAATATTTGGTATATAAATTATCATTCTTTAAAATGTCCTATGTAAGCTGTTAAATAATGAACATGTCAAAATTCCTATTAGTATTGACATATTCATCTGAAACAAATATATATTAAAAATAAATAAATTGATATTGTATATTTAAAACTAAATTAAATATTAAAAAAATTTTAAGAATAAGAGGTGGCACCAAACGAACACCAAACTAAATGAACAAGGGAATCACCAAACGCAACGCAGCACGTACGGGGGAAAAAGCACACCCTTGGGCTTGAACTCGGACAATCCAGCGGGAACCATTCCGCTCTCATACCATTGATCCATTTCCTCGGAGTCCCTTCATTCTCTGCAAATTGCCAAAATTCCACACTCCAACAATCCCCAACTTGACTAGAAGTCCAATCAAAATTCGCGCAATTCAAGGATAACGCAGCCGCCTCAATCAAATCCCATTATTTTAACAAGTTTTCACTTGGTTGTTAAGGATATTTAAAAAAAAAAAAAACCCTCATGTTTTAAGTGAAGCTAGTATGAATTTCATTTGAGAAACTCTATTCTAATGATCAATCTGTGCATGTACATGCTAGCTTTGATCCACATTCGGTGGTTTTCAGTGTATATAAAAATATTTATAATTTTTTTCCAAAATATTTCTATTAAGTGCATATAATAAGGAATTTTCATCAAAAGATACTTACAACGCATATGATTACAAATGATATTTTATATATTTGTCATAAATAATTAATTTGGCTAATTTTTTAAATATTCATAAATCAGTTATTTTTTTGGCTAAAAAAATTAATTAGCCATTTAGTTCTTATATTAATAATGAGAGGGATTATAATTTAAGGATATTTGTCCTGGGATAAAATGCAGCATATGAAAACATTATTCCGTTGGTGGTTGCAAGAAATACTTGGTCTTTTTTACACTCGAGTGCACCATAGTCATCATTTGACCTTCTTATTTAGTGAGGCATATGGGAAGCTTCATCATATTTCATAATGTACGCTGGGAACGTCATGTATTTTGGAGAACTGTGAGGGTAATCATGTCCATCATAACCTTCTTTCTTCGTTCAATTATATGTCAGCTTGTGTCTTATTATTGGCCAACGAAAAGCACACAAGGAAAGAGGTTGCCAACCGTGTTACCATCGTCATCATCATTAACGTTGCCCATCATTCTGGCACTTAAAGTCTGGCGTGATCCACAATTATGTGTGGGTTTATACTTTGGTAGACTACGGCCCAAACCCAATATAAGTGGGGCTCCCCTCATGTTGGTCACGAAGAAGAAGAAGCTTATATACAGTGTTGATTATTCTGAAACTTAAGATGAGTAGCCAATACATGCAGTGAACTAACAAGAGTTAGCTCTAGAAGAAAAAACTAGTCTCTCGTAACATAGCGAATCAATGGTCAAATCCCTGTTAGGAGAGGTGCGCACATTTATTGCTCAACAGTGTCTCGAATAGGAAGATATATATGCTTTAGCAAAAAAATACGTGCAGTGAACTGAACATCGATGACTGAATTATGTTACATCAATGATATAAGATTAAACTATATCTCTCAGTCCTATAACATTCTCTTCCATACTATATCCGGTCCTAAATATAAGACATCGATTCATTTTGTTTATCATATTTATCTATTTTTTCTCAAGGTAGTCATGTGATAGTTGCGCATGTTAAAAGTTTTATCAAATGGTAATTCTAACTAATGCACATAATTAGTAAAGATATTTTAATAAAGACAACACATATTTATTACATATAACTAACATAACTATATATAAGTAACACTTCATATTTTTACATGTCTCTCCCATCTCTTTTCTGACTCAACATCTTCATAAATAATGGCATATTTGGGGGAAAATTACATTGCTCACACATTTATCGCTTTTAATAAATTCTAAACAATATTTTGATTTACCTGATTTGCTTAGTTACTACTTATATATGGGATTTTAAAAACACACAAAAATTATCTTTAAATGGAGGCAATTCTATTCAAAACACTATTAAGTATTTTCAAGAGGAATTTGAACTTTATTTATTACGCGATGAGTGGCTAATTCTTTTCACTGGATCCAAATGGTCCTCACCGGATAACAGTCTCTTTGAACAGCCCTGAACTTGGTGCCTCAGTTAATTGTTTCGCTGGGATAGCACGAAATAGATTGTCACCAAGAAACATGGGGCAGGGAAAAGGGGATACCCAATATGTCGGTCGTCTCTTTATATTAAAATCCCGGTTTGTCTCTTGATAAAAATATGAATATAATCATCAATTTTAAAAACATAAGAGCAAATTGTATTATTCCTAGATTAAAAAAAATGCTAAATAGTGTGAACCGACATTTAGTTAGATAAATTCCAAAATTCAAGTGGGTTCCTTTTGGTTGGTGTGTTCACTGTTGAGTGCCGGTCCATTGTGTTGACAACAGTGTTGTTTGTGAGTGATATGTAAGTGTACTGTGTGGATCCATTGGCTTGGAGACTGAGAAAAATGTTAGTGTGGCACATGGGTGGGTCGGACATCATGAAACCATATAGATTTGCCAAATCTAAATCATCATGCGACCCAGGAGGGACTGAACGGAACAATTTTGATTCACTGGATTGTGTACCGGCAACCCAAACTCAAAGTCCCACCAAAGCACGTCCCGGTCAGCTATTTTGTCATGTTCTAATTAAACCTCTTTTCATCATTTTTTTTAAAAAAGAAAAAATTGGGTAACATTATATCGTCACTGCCTTTGTCCGCTTAAATGCACCCAAATTAAATGTTTCTTTAGGTCTTAAATGTAGGACCGTGTTAAGCTGTTGATAGATATGTTCTGATTCGAAATATAGAATCTCAATTTATTTTTTTTATCAGAAACAAAGCTAAGGTCCAAATAACAAAAACCTAAAAGACAGCACTCCTGGAAATAAATGTTTCAGCTGTATCTTTATGCAAACTAAAAGATATCAATTTATTTTACCTCACAAATCTATAATTATTTTCTCAAAAAAAAATTCATTAATAAAAGTGATTTTCAATGTAAATTATTTAAAAATTATTTTTAAAAAGTCAGCACATATTTATTAGAAATAATTTAATTAATTTTTTAAATATATATATAAATTAGTTATTTGGCTCTTGTTATCATTGTTTTTGTTGTTGGACTAAAAGGTCTTACTAATAACTATTTAAACCACCAACTCAAGGCCAAAAAGAAGAAAAAAAGAAAAATCTATTTAAACCAGTAATATTTTTCATCTTTTTTAAAAAAAAAAATTTTCAGGCCAAATGATTGGGCAGATTAGCAGAAGACATGTGTCGTCTGAAGAAAGTGGTCATGTTATGGGCTGTTCCTTTTGCTTTTTTTTTTTTTTTAATGCATACAGAATCATGATTTCTTAGAATCATTCGTTATTCCACGCTATCAATTATTTTTGAATTATAAATGAAAATATTTTAATATGTTTTTCACAAATTATCTTATTTACAATATCATTAGGTGGGATTCAAATGTTGTTGGGCTTAATATCTATGTCACTATGATTTTTTTCTATTCAAGGATATTCAAAGCTCAAACCATCAAGTTTATTTTATGCGTACATAACAGTTCATGTTGCTATGCATGACCGTCTCCATCATTATACTAGTATTAATTTCTCAGGATTCTTTTGGACCAAACAGGCACTTTAACTTTCTAGCATATAATAGTAGTTTGGAAAAATTACAGGATTAAGGTGCAAATTTTTCCTAAAAATTTGTGCTTCGGAGTACCAAGTTTCAGAAGTATTTTTGACTCAATATCATCCTGAAAATTTTCAAATCATAGTAATATCACCCTGGTTGTTATCTAGGTTAAGTTTAACTGTGAGTTGACCAACTATGCTAAGGGGGTACGTC